CTTTGTGCGAGGTTAAGTTGTAAGTTCCTCTTTTTTTAATTTGCTCAATTAATTACAGTCAATTCTCACAATTCTCGTGAGGAATTTAGGCTAGCGTGTTACAGCGACGTGGAGAGTGAGTTGTAAATTGAGTTCTGTAGTCTATTAAATGAAAAAAATTGAAATCTATTTAAGAATGAAAATTTTGATCTCGATGATGAGATCAATTTCTCGAAGGAAGTAAAGTATTAGCGTCAATAAAATTGAATACTTGGTAATTTTGTGTGAATTTAGAAAAGGTAATATCGTGGTCACGACGACGAAATAACACTTGCATCGTATATGTTAGCGAAGTTCTGAACGTTGGAAAATGTGAGAGTTGGTTTGAAAAATTTACGAATGGAAATTTCGATCTCGATGATACTTTTCGAAACAAAGTGTAACGATTTTCAGAGAAAAAGGAAAAGCGTTTCACTGGGTTAGTTGTAATTCTGCAAATGTACTCTTAGGAAGCTTTCACTGGATACAATGCATCAGATTACGAAACGCTATTCCAATTATAACAACACACTTTTACTTTCTTAGTGCTACAACCCGAAACTTTCCTTCTTTAAAAAGTTGCGTTCTAGTTTAATAAATAATAAATTTGCAAAAATTTCTTTGAACGTTGGAGGATAATTTCTGTGCTGTGATAACGTTCGTTTGCAAAAATTTCTTTGAACGTTGGAGGATAATTTCTGTGCTGTGATAACGTTCGTGTGAAATTCATTGCGTCTATAAGACTCTTTTTGTCGAGTTTGTCAATATCTAGATGAGATTGTCGTGTTTCGATTATTTCTTCTCTATTGTGGAACGAATTTCACATTTCTAGAGGCGAACCTCTTTGTGCTGTATTTTATGGCTGATTTAGATTCACTGAAGTACAAGATACAGTTAATTTAGCATCACTGGAATTATTGTGATATTATTTTTAGTTTTTATTTGGAGTATTAATATGTTATACGAATTGTAAAATTATAAGGACTTATTCGTAATGAATAATGCTTTACTTTTGTACATTGTTCAATTTTATAATTGATTATAATGCATAATTATAATCAATAAAATTATTCAATTTCATAATTGATTATAAGGTATAATTGTAATCAGTATAACTGTTCAGTTTCGTAATTGATTACAGTGTGTAGTTATAATTCATTGTTCAATTTAATAATCGACTATAATGTACAATTATAATCAATAGAATTGCTCCATTAATTGTTCAATTTCATAATTGATCACAATGTATCGTTCTAATCCATTATTATATTTAATAATTGACTGTAATGTATCATTATAGCTCATTGTTCAATTTTGTAATTGTTTATAATGTACAATTGTAATCACTACAATAATTCAACTTCATAATTGAGTACAAGGTCCAATTATAATCAACATAACTGTTCAATTTCATAATTGACTGCAGTGTACAATTACAATTCATTGCTCAATTTAATAATTGACCGTAACGCATAATTGTAGCTCATTGTTCAATTTTATAATCGTTTATAATCTACAATTTTTCAATTTCAATTAATTATAATGTACAAGAGTGTAAGTTATATGTCTAATACAATATTCCAAGAGAATGTTCTTAAAAACCTTTTTAAACATTCTGAAAACCTGTCCAACGATATTTGATCAAAGTAGGATACTTTTCACCGGGAAACATTCTCTCGCGCAAAATTTTCCAATTTAAGCACGCCTATGATAAGGAAATACGGATCGATTGCGACACATCGATCAGCGAGTCGATTTTTTTTCCACGGCTCAAGGTAACGCGAGCGCGAAAAGCGCGGGAGAAACGCGGGACAACAAAAACTCGCGGCTCGAGTGTTAATCATTGCGAAATCGGCGAGGTCGCGATTGCACTTGCTCGCTAAAACAATAACGAAACACGCAGAAACCGACGAACGGCGGGATAACGCGAGATCGTATCTACGCTTTTAACGCGATTAAAGAAGTTTCCGGCCGTACACTGTAATTTCTGGACATTCTCCTTTCGTTGTGTACACACGTACGTACGTATGTATGTATACGCCAGTTGGAAAATCGACAAGGAAAAATCTTTATAATCGTGGTATTCTGAGCATTCGATGCTTTTAACACGCGTCTCCTCTCAATCTTCCTCAGGGCATCACCGTTTCTCGCTTGTTGAGTATTTTACGATTGCAACAGGGATCGTTTTAAATACGCAATAATTCGAATTGACGTCAGTAAATTCATTCTCTTTCTTTCTTTTCTCGTCCTTTTGAATTACTGTCACGTAATAGATTACGATGTTTTATCGTACAGGATGATTAAAAAATGATGTAAAGTTGGGTAGATCGTGTGTATCGCGTAGCTCGAAAGTGACAAGAAAGTCCGCAAATGTGTTCGAGAAACTTTTACTTTCTGCGTCGATGTTTTATTATTGTGCAACCGGCGCAATGTGCATGATAGAGGATGCAAAAAAACGGCATGTATAGAAAGTGTTCGTAATGATTTATAACTTGCGCTAGTGTGCTCGGTCATTTTACGTGTCGAACGTCCGCGAAGCAATTTCTTTCTTTATTTTGAAGAAATTTTCTACCCTCTTGCAATGGTAAATTTTCATATATGAAAAAATATTTACTCATTCTTGTACAATAGTAAGTTAAGAAAGCATTAAGAAATATTCATTTATTCTTATCCAATAGTAAGTTAAAAAGTCTAGAAAGAATACTTATTTATTAAGTATTAAGAAAAATATTTATTTATTCTCGTTTAACAGCAAATTAGACAAGATTAAAAAATATTCATTTATTCTCATTCAATAATGAATTAAAAAACCTAAAAGAATATTTATTTATTCACATTCAATGTCAAGTTAGAAAAAATTGAAAAATACTCGTATATTCTCGTTCAACGATAAATTCAAAAAAAAAAAAAAAGAAAAAAATTAATTTATTCTCATCCATTGGCAAATGAAAAGAGACAAAAAATAAAGTTCGACGGAAGAATTTCTCGAATTACCATATTCATCGGTA